AGGAAATGTCCTTTCGTGAATTTTCTACCACCGACTTTGAAGCTTCCACTCTAGGTCTCAGGAGGTTGTGGCTTTCAGTTCTCTCGAATATCAGCTTCCATATTGTTGTGCGTAATTGCGAGATGGATTAGTGATGAAATAAACGCTTTTCACTTCGAGTATTTTTGAAGACATGGAATTGGTTTCGGTTCATTTTAATATTATGAATGGGCAATTACTCTTCCAGTGACCTTTCTACCAAGAACAAATGCCTTATTGCACAGATTTCTTGAGTCTTTCTTAATATCGGTTGAATATTTCAGGACTATAACTTTGAAACTAATTGTGACAAATGTTAGCGAATGATCACTATTATAATTTTAGGATCGTTAAGAGCTTTATTTTTTTTGTTTCTGTACACCGGAATTTATCAAAGACTTTGAGTCGAAAAAAAGGAAATTACGGAAATCTCAATTTCAATGAAGATAAAAACGTATCTCCAACACGAGGAAACATCATTAATACGTAGTATAGTGGTTACAGTCAACTGCCTTCTCCTTTCTATGGTAGGTGGCGCTACTGGAGCCATCTTTTTCCCATGATGCCTCTCTGTTATTCTTGTCTGTGTGCTTGTCTCGTGATGTTGTTCTTTGTTTTGTTTGTAACTTTAATGTTCTGTGCTGTGGAACGTAACCTAATAAAAATGGTTCCTAAAATTTACTGGATTCTTCAGCAGCACAACACACAAACTTGAGTCTCGTCCCTCTATAATTAGCGCCCAACGTAAAAATATGTCGAAGTTTGTGCAATTATGCAATGTTATAAGTCATTAATTCGGAAACGCGGTATTCTTTGTGCAATCATGCAACAATTGTGTTATGTCCTAAACATCAATCAAAGTCTAATTCCTGTTTACCATCCACAGGCAAACCCTTTTGAGCATAAAAATAGAGACTTGAAGCCTCGTTTGGCAATGATGGTAGGTAACAACCATACCTTATGGAATGAGCAATTACCAGCTATTAGATTTGCAATGAACACTGCAAAATGCGAAACTACTGGATGCACTGCAGCTTACTTGAACTTTTCCCGATAATTAAGAACTTTAGACGATGTTACTACTGACCTGCGGTCTGTTATTCATAATGATAACTTTGTTCCAGAATTCACTCCATATTTAAAACGTTTTGAGAGGAATATGTCACAAATTAAAGAAAATATTGAGAAAAGTCAAGATCGTCGAAAAGCATATGCAGACAAATCACGTCAACAAAGCCCTAATTTTAAACCTGATGATTTAGTTTGGGTAAAACTTTACCCATTAAGTAAAGCAAATCAAAGCAAAAGTGCAAAGTTTATGCCGAGGAAAGATGGACCTTACGTCATTCTATCCCAGAAATCACCTACAACCTTTCTCATCGCCAGTTGCGACAAACCTGATGTACCTTTAGGTGCAAACCACGTATCAGCTCTAACACCTTTTCAAAATGTCATACAGAACCAATCTCCTGTGGTGCCTTTAAGAAGAAGAGGTAGACCTCCAAATCAGCCTTCTGTTTCTAATGAAAGTCCTGCGAAAAACGCAAAAATATCAAAAATCACACCACGTTGCCGGGACGGTCTTCGGAGGTGTAGAGGGAAGATGTAGCGGTTACAATCTTCCTTCTATGCCTTCTCCTTTCTATGGTAGGTGGCGCTACTGGAGCCATCTTTTTCCCATGATGCCTCTCTGTCATTCTTGTCTGTGTGCTTGTCTCGTGATGTTGTTCTCTGTTTTGTCTTGTGCGTTGTAACTTTAATGTTCTGTGCTGTGGAACGTAGCCTAATAAAAATGGTTCCTAAAATTGACTGGATTCTTCAGCAGCACAACACACAAACTTGAGTCTCTTCCCTCTATAGTAGAATGTATGTGTATTTGTATGTGTGTATGTATTTTCAACAATTTTGTTTCATTTAATGGAGCAGAAATAAAAATGCATACACTGCTAAACTAACCTTTTGCTAAATTCGCAATGGTATTATACATTCGATAAACTACTGGGGTGATTTTTATTACAGCCACTATATATTTTGCAATTAGTGCATACATCCCGAAGTGCATGAATCTTAGACTACAGTAAAACTTCAATTAACCATCATCGGCCGTACCAGGGCTGTGATGGATAATCGAATAGAATAATAGCAGACATCTCTCCATACATATGACGGATAATCGAATAGAATAATAGCAGAAATATCTCCATACATATGACGGATAATTGAATAGAATATTAGCAGACATCTCTCCATAGATATGACGGATAATCGAATAGAATAATAGCAGACATCTCTCCATACATATGACGGATAATCGAATAGAATAATA